TTAATCATTTAACCTTTATTGACCATTCCAGTCTGAAGCATGGAGTTGATATGTTGGTAAGTATCCAGTCTGGCCCTAAGACCAGCAACAAAAGGAAGTCACTTAAGGTATGCCTTCTTTTAGTATATCCCCTTTCTTAAGCATTTGTACTGTTTTATGCATACTGTTCATGAAGGGACAGGCCTGGCGCAGTGGTGAGGTACTCTCCCCACTTGTGCCAAGAGGTCCTGAGTTCAACGAAACCTCTCTGCATTGCACTGTGCAGGGGTAAGGCTTGCCTTGTATAATCCTTCCCCAGACTCCACCTGATGTGGGAGCTTCTAGTAGCTGAGAAGAAACTATCGCTGATTATGCTACAGTGCTATAACTATATGAAATCATTACAAATGAATAGAGCTAACTATTCTTTCCAACAATGACAGGACATTACTATGGAAAACGAATTTGAAAAGAAGCTTCTTGCCGATGTTATCCCTCCAGATGAAATAGGAGTTACATTTGAGGACATCGGAGCACTCGAAAGTGTCAAGGAAACTCTGAAGGAGTTAGTGATGCTGCCCTTGCAAAGGCCTGAATTGTTTTCCAAAGGACAACTTATGAAGGTATATATTATTTATATACTTTATTAAAAGCTGTTTGAAAAAATGGTGTTTCTTGGTAAAGATTCTGTTTTGAAGTCAAATATTAATGAAACGCCAAAACTTTACCAAGAAATACTAAAAAAGCAGGCTCTTAGGAACTTTTTTTTTTAGATATGCTATATAGTATCAACGTATTACTTGTCTTGCCTTTTGTCATTTAATATAAAAACTAGCAAGTGAAGCAAGTTTATTCTCTTGGTGGTCAGTTGATCATAACTTAAAGTTTATGCCTTTCACCTTTTGGTTTTGGGAGTTGCCCAGTAAATAAGGCACCTAATGAACATGGTGAAAGAAGTTATATATGCCAATCTGAATAGCAAAATATAGTTACCACTCCCTCCGTTCCTTTATATAAGGTGTATTTGTTTTTTCAAATATCAAATGAGTGCATGTTTCACCGAGTTTTTAGAAAAAATATATTAGTATCTCTACAACATGAAATTTAAATTTATACCATTTGATCCTTCATAAAAGGTAGTTTCATATTTTATCTACTAGGTATTGCAGATGTTTTTATTTTATTCAATAATCTTGGTCAAACATTCAAATGGTTGACTTGCATGGAAATCAATACACCTTATATTCTGGAACAGAGGGAGTATTATTTAGCAAAGTTATGATCATTTGTTCTGTTTATGAAATAGTGGAACCTTTTATTTCTAAGCTGACTATTGTTACTTTTGTTATGCTAGCCATGTAAAGGAATATTACTTTTTGGTCCGCCTGGTACGGGGAAGACGATGCTTGCAAAAGCTGTGGCAACAGAGGCTGGTGCTAATTTCATAAACATATCAATGTCAAGTATATCCTCAAAGGTATTCCATTTGATAGGATTGGCTGATGTCTTGCTTTATTTCTGCATTCCGGGTGTTTGCGTCATCAGCTCTAAATGACCTGTTGTTGCAGTGGTTTGGTGAAGGAGAGAAGTACGTGAAAGCTGTGTTTTCACTGGCAAGCAAAATTGCTCCAAGTGTCATTTTCGTAGATGAGGTAATGCAACTGTGACTATTCAATATAGATAATTTTGTTGCACTGTATGGGTACATACTTGCTAAGTTTGTTGTTAATCCTGAAGGGCGCTGCTTATTTTCTTGCCGTTTTTACATTTTTTAGGTTGATGGCATGTTGGGTAGACGTGAGAACCCTGGAGAGCATGAAGCCATGCGCAAGATGAAAAACGAGTTTATGGTGAACTGGGATGGGCTAAGAACAAAAGATAAAGAACGCGTATTAGTCCTTGCTGCGACTAATAGGCCATTTGACCTTGATGAAGCTGTTATTAGGAGGCTTCCAAGGAGGTGATTTTTCAGTTCTTTCTTAGGATTCATATTCTGATACTCTGAGAAATTATAGTTTATTGACTGATCATTTTATGGAAATTGTTTTCTTTAGGTTGATGGTGAATTTGCCTGATGCATCAAATAGAAGAAAGATTATTAGCGTCATACTAGCCAAAGAAGATTTGGCAGATGACCTTGATCTTGAAGCCATTGCTAACTTGACGGAAGGATACTCGGGCAGTGATCTTAAGGTATTGTACTACTATAATGAGTCCTGCGGCAAACACGTTTCTTTTCTATTCCCACCGTTCCTAAATATTTGTCTTTTTAGAGATTTCAAATGGACTATCACATACGGATGCATATAGACATATTTTAGAGTGTAGATTAACTCATTTTGCTCCGTATGTAGTCACTTGTTGAAATCTCTAGAAAGACAAATATTTAGGAACGGAGGGAGTACTATGCTCATGCTCTTTTGCAATTACTTTTCAGAATCTTTGTGTGACTGCTGCTCATCTTCCTATTAGAGAGCTCCTTGAAAAGGAGAAAAAGGTTACTTCTATCCCCCCAAACTTGTATAGTTTCTTTGTTATGTAGCGTTATTATGGTTGTATATATCCCCCTCCGTTCCAAAATATAGGGTGTAGTTTGACTGTCCGTACTTGACCTTTGACCATAAACCTCTGATGCAGTATTAATGCATAGCCTATTCATTATTGGACTAATTATTGGTCAAATCTTGAATCTGTACGTCCAAAACTATGCCTTATATTTTGCAAAAGAGGTACTCCCTCCGTCCCAAAATAAATGTCTCAACTTGACACTTATTTTGGGACAGAGGAAGTAGTATATAGATTAGTAATGAAATCAATGGAACATGGCCATCTTCTGTATTTATATTTGACAGTGATGGATGATGTGAAATGGATTTGACCTTTTGTGTGTCCGCTTGCAGGAGAGAGCTTTGGCAGAAGCAGAAAGCAGGCCATGTTCTAGCAATGATGTCCGTGCCTTGAGAATAAGTGATTTCAAACATGCACATGAACAGGTAAGTTATTGTGACTATGAGTTTGTGCTGTGGGTCGGTAGCTGTGCTGTATCATGCTAAGTATTTTTAAACCCTGATATAGAAGAAAGAAATTGTGCTGCCTGATAGAATGTCCTGACCTTGTATGTCACTTGGTTGTAGGTTTGTGCAAGTGTATCTTGTGATTCAACGAATATGAATGAGCTTGTTCAGTGGAATGATGTCTACGGAGAAGGTGGGTCGAGGAAAACGACAACGCTAAGCTACTTCATGTAGCGATGTTGAGAGCATGTACATACATGATAAACGTTAGCACAGAGCAATGGCTGCGATTGGAGGGGGGCTACAGCAAAAAGAAGTGTAGGCATCAGATCAAGAAGGGACCGTCACAGTGAGAGCAACGGAGGGATGCAAATCTGGTTGATGCCTTGTGGCAGGTCAACAAGAGCACAGCAGACATGGCCTGCTCCAGCGCATCACCATCCAAAGGAGATAGATTTGTATTTGTAGCAGTCGGGCCGGCCATCGTTTTTCGTCGGTTTATTATTGAGAATCTTTGTTTAGATTGCAAGTTGTAGAGCCTGTGCAAGTGTACAGTATGAATGAGAATCAGGCCAGGTCAATTAACTTGTTACTGTGGTCAGTTCAGGGAAATATTCATTTTATTTTATTAACCAGAAGATTAATTCATTACTTGGTGCTTCGACGATTTGAGTCCCCTGTAGAGATTTTTCTTTTCTTTTTTGTCACATTACTGGAGATGATTATTTTCATTTAGCCCCTTGGTGGCGCCTGCGTGTAGTATCACGCAACTGGAACGAGAATGATGTAGTACTAGTGCATTTCCATGCTTGGTGTCGTAATCTTTGACGGCTCAATATCTCATTATTGGAGATGATTGTATCCTTTTCGCCCGGCCTGCGTGTATAAATCACGCTACCGGGCAAATTGTATTGAGTCAGAATTGTGCAGGTGGTATCCACTCGAACCTCTCCTTGAAACTTCAATCCAAAAGAATCCTTTGCATTTTCGTTCTAGGCCCAGTAAACAATTTTTAGTATCCTGTGCAAAAACAAGTTTGGGCGTTTCATCGAAATCTGCATGCATATAAATTTTTGGAAAAAGAAATTCATACACCCGGACAACTGGTGCCCAAGAGCCAAAAGGCTGCGTGCATGATCTTTTCTCTGTCTTATTCCTCTGGTCTCTGGTTTTCGAGTCTTTGCAAGTATTTCTTTTTTTGGAAAATGAGAATTCTTCCTCGGGACTTGCCGACATTTACATGATCAAGTGGATGAGATCATTCCAGCAGTCTTACTTGCGATGGATCTGCACGTCTCGTATTATTGTGGACTGAAGAATAGTCTAGTCGTCTCTCTCACAAATAATGGTCTTACATACATTCATTCCTATGGACGTCGATGGTGAAGAAGTCAAAATAGTTGGATCGAGGGCGATGAGTGATGACGATGGCACTTGTGGGCGTGTTTTGTAACGTTTTTGTGCCTGTTTCTTTTCATAAACTAACTGCACAATCCTCCTCCTCCTCCTCCTCTTCTTCTTCTTCTTCTCCTTAAATGATGAAAATGAAAGTCTTTTGTCTTGTTGAAAAAAGGAAACGCTTTATCACAAAAAAAAGGAAAAAGGGAAAAAAAGAAGGGAAACGCTTACTGAACCTCCAGAAGTTGAGCAGGAACCCTCATTGGTATTGTCGTGCATGAGACAGCACAGCAAGTCTCCATTCAGTGAACCTTTTCTAAAAAAAGTTAACTGAATGGAGACTTGCTGGGTGCATGAAGCAGCCGATCGGTGGCCTCCTTGATCTTGAAGAAGCGCATGCAGCGTGCTTTCGATGGGGCGCCAAATACTACGTACTCCATGATTGAACATAAACTTATTTTTGCTTAACTGATTGGCAGACCTCACGCCTAAACAAATCACGCCACAAAAGGTTTTCCAAAGAAAGAAGAAGACTGGTGTCTGCAGGATGCATCTGAGCATGCATCTAACAAGATAATTACACCCTGTGTCCCTGCACGTACGATGCGATCACATGGAGTGGTTTATGAGGCCATGCACCACAAGGAGCCCCATGATGAGCGAGTGGTCCACGTTGGGCTCCACCACCAGCGTCAGCACGTCCTCGCCCAGGGACACCCCCGTCGCCGTCAGCTTCCTCTTCACCTCCGCCACGGCCAGCCCGGTGGCGTCGTCCACGATCCACGAGGCGCGCGCCGCCTGCTGCCGCCGCCTGCCGCCGTCCATCTTGTAGCGCACCGCGTGGCCGTCGCTCCTGAACTCGCAGCGCGGGCCGCGGCTCCACTTGTTGCTCACCACCGTGAACCACGGCAGCCGTCGCGGCGCGTCGGCGCGGTCCCACCCGCCGCACCTGTATCCCTCCCACCTCCGGAACTTCTTGAGGACCTGGAGCACCACGCTCCCCGTGATGTCCATGAGGCACACGTCCACGGAGCGGTGGGAGCCGTAGTTGTCGACGCGGTAGACGATGCGGCCGCGGGAGTCGAAGACCGTGCAGCCGCTCCCGTTGAGCACCAGCGATTTCATCCAGATGGTGAACACCTCCCTCTGCTGGCTCCTGTGCTCTTCCCCGACCCCTTCGCCTTCGTCTTTGACGACTTGGCCTTGGCCGACCGCCGCCGCTGGCTCCTCAGCCGGAGGAGCATCGGCGGTCGGTGTGTCTTCTGGGAGTAGCCGCTTCTGCGACGAACAGGAGGCCGAGGAGTGTACCTTGACCTTGGGCGTCCAGAGTTCAGCACCAAGGCACCACCTTGCGCCTCCCATGAGTTGAAGAATTAACTCTTCTACTACTTCTACTTGATTATGGGAGGTATGGGGCTTTCTGTAACCATTGAGGTCTGAGTGTGTGTGTTATATTTATACACACATGCACATGCAACTACTCCCTTCCTCCTCCCTTCCTAAATATATAAGTCTTTTTAAAGATTGCACTATAGACTACATACACAACAAAATGAGTGAATCTACACTTTAAAATATGTCTATATACATTCGTATGTACTTCCTCCGTTCCTTAATATAAGTCTTTGAAGAGATTTCACTATGAAACACATATGAAGCAAAATAAATGAATCTACACATTAAAATACATCTATATACATCCGTATATGGTTCATAATGAAATCTCTACAAAGACTTATATTTAGGAACGGAGGGAGTAGTTTGTAGTGCAATCTCTAAAAAAGACTTATATTTAAAAACGGAGCAAGTACACAAGGGGAGGTGAAGGTCGAGATGGGAGAGAGATTATATTAGCTTAAACGTGTGGGGGATGAAGATAGGTAGTACTCCATTGAGGTCGTCAGCCGTACTCCACTTACCGCATTTGATTTATGTCATGCTTATCAAGTTGGCACAAATTACTAGCTACCCCGGCCTGTATATCTATAGCTGACGCGGAGACTTTTTCTGTGATCCCAACTACTAGTGCTTACTGCTACGTACTACTCCCTCCATTCGGAATTACTCGTTTAAGAAATAAATGTATCTAGATGTATTTTAGTTGTAGATACATTCATCATTGTGACAAATAATTCCAAACGGAGGGAATACTACTGATTAGTTGATTACAGTAGCGGAAGTGCTCTTATGAGCCCGAGCACACCTGCACACTTTATCACATCCGTCTGCTTTCTTCCAGATTCACACTCCCGCTTGTATTTTAGCTCGTATAGGGAGTCCTACATGATTATTTCTTTGAGCGATGGCCCACCTCTGCGTCGCATTCATTACACCTGCGCCCGTCAAGTACTTTCCGGCCCAGATAAAATATGACGTGCTAGACCGACATCCTATACCTTCTTAGCCGTCTACCCACTGCCACGTTGCTGCAATTAATACGTTGATCCGCCACCAAGGAAATCAAGCCCTCTGTCTTTGACCTCCTTCTACAAGATCACCGCCGACCGCCTGTTAAAAAAAAACAGATCACGACCGCTGCCGGACATGGTGAACAACTTTTTCAGGTCGCACTATGCATCACAAGTTGTCGTCGCAAGTACTAATGCAAATTCTTTTTATTCATAGCTAAAAAGTAGGTACGTACTAACACAAGCAAATAGTAATTGCAGCATCACTTGTTCAGATCATAGTCTCACACACACTAGTTCATGAAGTCTCGGCACAGTGTGACCACAAGCACTTCCACACTACTCAAGCGGGATGGATGCTAACATGTCACAGCTGGCTCAAAATAGTGGTTCAGATTTAACACATACATAATGGTAGGCTACCACACAATGGGATTACAAGCATAACCACATCAGAAACTGGGATGGAAGCTAACAAGTAACAAGTACCCGCAAACAGTAGGCACAGCTTCAGGTTCCAACCAAACGCTTATCACTGAGTAATAGAAGCACATTAATTCACTCGCACAAAAAAAGGTCCCACCCAAAAGCAACCACATGGTACCAGATCAGCACTCCCACATCAGAAGAAGACTTTCTCCATCATGAAGTCGGGCAACTCACCCATGTTACCTCTCATGGCAACTCACCCATGTTACCTCTCATCGAGATCACCTCATATGCAATTGACCTCCTGAGATAGTGATGCCGGATCTGCACATTCCACCACCATAGGGTCAAAATCACAAGCAGTATGAATGCAAACACGAAGACTCATCTTAGCGCTCACCGGTTTAAGTTGTTAACCAAGACTAATGTAATTGTCCAAACTCCTTGATGTAGTCCTCTCCCGTCAGCAAAGCGAATGTTGGAACCATGTGCTTGAACCATATCCTGCAAATGACAACCTCAGTGAGTACTGAAGCTACCATGATTCATTTCGAATTTAATAACGCTAATCCCTTAGTTACACTCACTTGCTAAGATCCATGTTGGTACATGACAGGATTTTGTCATAGAAAATCATCACCTCTCCTGCATTTGGCTCTTCATGCTTCAAAACCGGCTTTCCATCAGAATTTATCCCCCATATCACCTTACACAGTTGTCCTCACCATACCAACTTGCAACCTTAGGTTCCTCGACATCAGTTCGGACACTAGACCTGTTCCCCTCCGACAATCTGTGCTTCGATTATCTATCAAGCATTGCGTCATCATCAGTCATATTCCTTGTTAGAGCAATTAACCCGTAGATCTACTTCCACATATCTATTGCAAAAATCCCCCCATTACCAGCAGATGATGTATCATTCTGGAATGCAGACACTGGTATTTGTGCCTCATCGACGCTCTTATCTTCATGTCATCGGAGCTGTCTGATGCTGGAATGTGTTGCACAGTCCTCAAGAACTGGACTCTCTTCCATCATTTTCAATTCTTTCTGTTGACACATCTGTTGCCATGACGCCACAATTGTCGGCCTTGCATGCTAGTTAGCTTGAGCTACAGCACCTTGGGTCACTGTTTCAATAGCTACAATTGTTTCGGCAACTTCTCTAGCTGTACACTTGTACTGCTTCTTTCGAATTTGGTACCTGACATCAAACGACGACCTCCTTAGAACAATCGCATATTTTCTCTACTAGTTATATGAAAGACCATATCAAACTCCATAAGCAACTCCAATGGTAGATACCCAATTCAGGCACTTATTGACTTATGATACATCAACCCTATCTGAGCTCAGTTCTGTAACATTCGAGTGTTCACCTGGCGCTCTCCTAACATAAAACTTACCTGAGCTATTTACCACTAGTTTATATGATGAAGGTACAACATAGTAAATTGCTAAATTTTCTTTTTAGATCACCATCAATGTCTGCTTGCTATATTAAAAATTCATGTATGTATGCACTTTCCACTAGAGTAGCCGTATTTTCTATCTCTGTACCAGGAAATAAACATCTATATCAATCTACTCCCTCCGTACCTAAATATATGACATTTTGGTAGGCTAGTTTAGTCTACCAAAACATCATATATTTAGGTACAAAAGGAGTAGCATATAAGATAGCTGGGTTCATAAACCAATAAATCTAAAAGGCACATCTCAGGTAACAGGGCTCTGTGTATGTGATCGGCACGCACGTCGCCACATCGATGAAAGGCAAGTTCATTATTGCAGCAGGCACATTATTTTTATCAGGCCACACTGGCCAAACTGCCAACAAGGTATTTCTCGTTATCGTGTGATAACGACAAAGCACAAATACATGCTGCAGTCAATCCTCAATTCTAAGATGTCGCACTCCTGAAGAACGGATTACAATTTTGTAAGAAACTCGCGTGAAAGACTGGCGAAATGCGTATGATTTTGCCAGTGAATTTTATAATGTTGTAAGCAACTCCCAAAGATCGTGTGAAACCCTTTTTTTCTAAACTGAATTTTATACATCCATTGAGTACCCATTGTATTATGGAATACCAAAATTTGGCCAGTAAAAATCTATCCTCAATGGGACTGCTCTACCCCTGGCCATGGATGAATTTTATCCACTATGCCTATATACGAGAACAGTGACCTGAATACCAACATCCAAAATCACAGCCGGAAGTAAGTTCATACCTACGAGCCCATCCGGTAAACTGTGGGTTCATCTTGCCGGTGGAGAGCTCGGACGCTTAGTGGGATCCAATTCGAGGGATTTTCTAGGTTCATTAATCAAGCCTTTTGGGGTGAAATTTCCCTTTCTGCCAGTCTGCCGCCACCACTGCTTGGGTCGCACAGATTTGTCCGTCCCTGCTCAGCTCTGGGGCCGCCGCGTGCTGCAGCTCGCCGACGCCGGCGACGGGCTAATGCAGCGGCGCCATCGGGACATCGCTATCATTGACCTCCTCAAGCACCGTGAATCTGCTCCGGCAGATGCGGAAACGGAAAGTCAATCGCAGGGAAGGAATTCATCACAAATCTGTACTGCGGGAAAGAGGAACTGTACGTTACCTTTTAATTGGCTGCATCAGGAATTCTATCTCCTGCTCATCGGCGACGGCCCATTCCCATGGTGGCTGAGATCCCAGGAGACCCGACCTCGCTGATGGTACAATGGAGTGCCTACAGGTAGCAGAGCACTTCCACCCCTCCACCTCGTAGTTACTACTACCAACCAGGAAAGTGTTTTTCCTGTTCCACGGATTAGAACATCGACGAACTTCCTGAGCCACGGCTCGCCTCCCGCAGGCTGACGGCGGCTGGTTCTCCGTTCTTTCCTCAGGGACAGCTCACAAGTTCCCACGCCCGTATTCCTCAATTTACATCATTAACTCGCACCCCGTATTCCACCCACGAATTAACTGCACCCCATCCCGAGACGCCGTTCAACCGTGCCGATAAAGAGCTCATATGTGCTCGTGTGCAGAAACTCCGTGTCCAGTACAGTAGTAGTATTCGTTGGTGCAGCCCCCAGTGTGCACGCCACGGCAGGCTGTCACAGCAACAGTGTTACGATGCTTTGCCGACCAGCACCAGACTCTGGGGTCGCCTCTTGTCCTTTAAATTAAATTGCTCCATTATTTGGAAATCATTAAGCACGGCATGCATCTCGCTCACCTACGATGCGCTTAGATATTTACCAGATTTTGATCTCTCCATGTGCGTTGCTCCTACTAGATTTGTATTATGCGTGTATGATAAGATCACGCGACTCAGTTTGTCTTTCCTTGGGGTGGAACCTGTCCATTCGGTTTTACGAGATTTAGGTTTCCCACACTGTCCTTCTTCATAAATTTGTAGTATTATTACTCGTGCACGATACCGTTTTCATAGTGCACAAGATCACACGACCTGAGTGTACCTCAGTTCATTATAGTAAAAATTTATGTACGCCAAGAGTCAACTCTAAAAACACGACGCAGG